AATACCTATCCTTCTCAAAATATTCCAAAAAATGATGAAGATGGAGCACTTCCTAACATATTTTATGAGGCCAACATCACCAGGATCCCAAAGTCAGACAAGGACGGCACAAAGAACGAAAATTACAGGCCAATATTGCTGATGAACATACATGCAAAAATCCTCAACAAAATATTGTCAAACTGAATATAGCAATACATTAAAAGGATCATACACCACAATCAAGTGAGATTTATACCAGGGACGCAGGGATGTTCAACATCCACAAATCAATCAATGTGATACACCACGTTAACAAAATGAGGAATAAAAATCACATGATCATTGTAATAGATGCACAGAAAGCATTTGACAAGATCCAACATCCATTTATGATAAAAACTCTCAAGAAAATGGGTATAGAAGGAAAGTAACTCAACATAATAAAGGCCATATATGACAAACCCACAGCCAACATAATGGTGAAAAACTAAAAGCCATTCCTCTGAGAACAGGAATGAGACAATGGTGCCTACTCTTGCCACTCCTATTCAACATAGTACTGAAGGTCTTGGCCAGAGCAGTTAGGCAAGAAAAAGAAAAAAAAGGAATCCAAATTGCAAAGGAAGAAACGAAACTCTCGCTGTTTGTAGATGACATGATTCTATATAGAGAAAATCCTAAAGAATCCATCAGAAAACTATTAGAAATAATCAACAACTACAGCAAAGTTGCAGGGTACAAAATCAACGTTCAAAAATCAGTTGCTTTTCTATACACTAATTATGAACTACCAAAAAGAGAAATCAAGAATACAATCCCATTTACAATCGCAACAAAAAGAATAAAATATCCAGGAATAAACTTAACCAAATAGGTGAAAGACCTATACACTGAAAACTATAAGACATTATTGAAAGAAATTGAAGAAGATATAAAGAAATGGAAAGGTATTCCATGCTCATGGATTGGAAAAATAAACATAGTTAAAATATCCATATTACCTAAAGATTCAGTGCAATCCCAATCAGAATCCCCAATGACACTCTTCATGGAAATAGAACAAAGAATCCTAAAATTTATATGGAACAACAAAAGACCTCAAATAGCCAAAACAATCCTGAGAAAAAAGAACAAAGCTGGAGGCATCACAATCCCTCACTTCAAAATATACTACAAAGCTATAGTAATCAAAACAGCATGGTACTGCCACAAAAACAGACACACAGATCAATGGAACAGAATTGAAAGCACAGAAATAAAACCACACATCTATGAACAGCTAATCTTTGACAAAGGAGCCAAGAACCTACAATGGAGAAAGGAAAGTCTCTTCAATAAATGGTGATGGGAAAACTGGACAGCTACATGCAAAAGAATGAAAGTAGACCATTATCTTACACCATACACAAAAATTAACTCAAAATGGATTAAAGACTTGAATTTAAGACCTGACACCACAAAACTCTTGGAAGAAAATATAGGCAGTACATTCTTCAACATCAGTTTTAGCAGCATCTTGTCGAATACCATGTCTACTCAGGCAAGGGAAACAAAAGAAAAAATTACCAAATAGGACTACATCAGACTAAAAAGCTTCTTCAAGGCAAAGGAAACCAGAAACATAAACGAAAAGACAACTCACCAACTGGGAGAAAATATTCGCAAATCATATATCCGACAACGGGTTAATTTCCAAAATATATAAAGAAATCATACAACTCAACAACAAAAAAACAAACAACGTGATCAAAAAATGGGCAGAGGATATGAACAGACACTTTTCCAAAGAAGATATACAGATTGCCAACAGACACATGAAAAGATGTTCAACATCACTAATTATTAGGGAAATGCAAATCAAAACTAAAATGTGATATCACCTTACACCTGTCAGAATGGCTATAATTAACAAGACAAAAATTAACAAACGTTGGAGAGGATGTGGAGAAAAGGGAACCCTTATATATTGCTCCTGGGAATGCAAACCGGTGCAGCAACTATGGAAAACAGTACGGAGATTTCTCCAAAATTAAAAATAGAAATACCATGAGACCCAGCTATCTCACTACTGGGTATTTATCCAAAGAAGAAATCAATAATTCCAAGAGATTTATGCACCCCTATGTTTGTTGCAGCATTATTCCCAATAGCAAAGACGTGGAAACAACCCAAGTGCCCATCAAGTGATGAATGGATAAAGAAGATGTGGTATATATATACAATGGGATACTACTCAGCCATAAAAAAAGACAAAATCGTCCCATTTGCAACAATAATATTGATGGACCTTGAGGGTATGATGTTAAGCGAAATAAGCCAGACAGAGAAAGACAAATACTGCATGATTTCACTCATTTGTGGAAGATAAACAAACACAGGGATAAAGAGAACAGATTAGTGATTACCAGGTGGAAGGGGGCTCAGGGGTGGGCAAAAGGGGGTTAGGGGCACATATGTATGGTGACGGATAAAAATTAGACTGCGGGTGGTGAACACGATGCAGTTTATACAGAAATTGATAAATAATAATGAACACCTTAAATTACACCATGTTATAAACCATTATGATCTCAAAATAATTGAAAAAATTTTTAAATAAATAGGCCAAAAAAAAGAAGTAAATTTTATATTTAAGGTTGTCACAATTATACCTAAAAAGAAGGGGCCAGAAGATATAGTAAAATATATTTTAAAGAAATTATTACACACTTTGTAAACACAATCAATCCAAATGATAATACCCAACATTAGCTAGGATCTGGGAATGGGCAGGCTAGCCACTGTTGAATGCAGTAGAAATAATGGAAACTTATCAGTTTCCTGGGGATCATTTTACTCCCAGGTTACAAGAGGGGTTCAATCTAGTAATTCTACTCTTTAAAAATATACCAAGAGAAAAAATACTTTTTATAAATACGTGAAAGACAAAGAAAACCTAAATGCTAAACAATATCAACTTAAGAATAATTATAACACTATGGAAAAATACATAGCTATTGAAAATGACAAATAAGTAAACCACAGGTAATAATGTAGAGTGAAAGAGCAAAACCCAAAATATTATGTACACACTATTTATAGACCTATAAAAACACATAAGTAAATTAATGAAATTCTTCATAGCTATTAAAAATAATGACATAGATCTATGCTTCCAGAAATGACAACAAAACAGCGATATAAAATGGGGGAAGCTGATAATAGAGGAAAATGTATATGACACCATTTATGTAAAAATTCCATATCTATGTGTTCTTCTATCCACAGAGAAATATCAAGAAACATGTTCACCAAAATTATATAAATAAAAGTTGTCTCATCATTTGGAGATGCTTTTTATAACAAGTAAAAACTGTGAAGCTATTTTCATTTTGGGGAATGGAAAAGGCAAAAACATATAACAGCAAAGATCAGAAGAGAATTAGAAGTGTTTCTGACTTTTAAGTACTCTTTCTCTTTCTCTGTTTCTCCCTCCCTCCCTCTCTCTCTCTCTCACACACACACACACACACACTCACGCAAATGACTCTAAAATCACCAATGATCTGCCACATTGAGAAACTATGCATGAGAATTGGTGCCACCAGGTGGCAGTTCCTACTCTCTCTCACTACCTCAGGTCTCGTGCCATTCAAGACACACCACAAAGCAAAGGCACCATAGAACAGTTTCTTCCTAAAGTCCCATGATTCTAGCACAGCAGTCACAAATTTTTTCTGCAAAGGGCCAGACAGTAAATATTTTAGGCTTTGCAGGCCATGTGGTCATAGCTACTCAACTCTGTCACTGCAGTCAACTCTGTCACTGTCACTGCACAAGCAGCCATAAATAATACCTAAATAAATGAGCGTGGCAGTGTTCCAATAAAACTTCATGGACGAAGAAATTTGAATTTCGTATAATTTTCACATCACTATTCATCTTTTTAAAATTTTTTTCCAACCATTTAAGAATGTAAGAACCAAAGACAGTTTGGCAGTTCCTTAAAAAGTTAAACATGGAGTTAATACAGGACTCAGCAATTCCACTACTAGGTATACACTCAAGAGAACTGAAAACACATACTCACACAACAACTTATACATGAATGTTTACAGCAGTGTTATACATACTATCAAAAAAGTGGAAATAACCCAAATGTCCACCAACCAATGAATGGATAAACCAGGGTGCGGGTATATCCATATAAAAGAATATTATTCAGCCACAAAAAAGAATGAAGTACTGATACACACTACAACATGGATGAACTTTGAAAACAAGCTAAGTGAAAGAAGCCAGGCACAAAAGGCCACATATTGTCTGATTCCATTCATATTAAATGTCCAGAATAGGCAAATCGATAGAAACAGAAAGTAGATTAGTGGTGGCCAGGAGGTGTGGGGAGGAGAGAATGATAAGTGACTGCTAATGAGTATGGGGTTTCTTTTGGGGTAATAAAAATGTTCTGGAATTAGATAGTGGTGATGGTTGCACAACCTTGTGAATATACTAAAACAACTGAATTGTATACTTGAAAATGGTGAATTTTATAGTACATGAATTCAATCTCAATTTTAAAAAATGTAGAAATTTAGCTCATGGGCCATATAAAAACAGTCTGAAGGCTGGATTTGGCCTGGGGGCTGTAGTTGTCAACCCTGTTCTAGCATCTAACAGAAAAGATGGCTTTGGATTTTACACACACATACATACACACACACACACACTCCACAAATTAGAACACAGCCAAAGGCAAAAACTTTGAAGCTGAGCCAAGACTGAAAACATTATTTGATGGTAATTAGATAAAGTTATGAAAAAATGGAAAGTCAAAGAGCCTGTTTAAGTAATGCTCACTGCCACCAAACCCATAAAGTTACTCTTTGGAAAGTGGACACAATTCAACAGACTGGTGGGGAAAAAAAGTGAGTGTTATATAAAGCACAACTTTTAAATACCAGTCCCTATTCTGTCGTGCCAAAATCCTTTTTAAATTAAATTAAGCTAATTTGGAAATGCATTTACTGGCACATTACCTGGAGGCACTCGCTGTATTAATTCAAACCTGGTTAGGAAGGCTAAAAAGGAAAAAATGAGAGTTTAATACTTTAGAAAATTGCCAGAGTTTTTTGTTAATTGCTAAGTTTAAAACTGCCATAACATCCTATTTACATTATTAATAATAAGTGTCATACCGACAATGACACAGATATTTCTAGACTCAATAAACCGAGGGCATGGAGTAAGAGAAGCTGAGTTATAAAAACAGCATTTCGTCCCCTTAAAGTATTGACAAAACAGATGCAATATTTTCTCTCTTAAAAATATATTCATAAATCACTGAAATAACAATAAATTTTTCATTCAAAAATTCAAAATACAATCGTTATCCATTAACCCATAAAAGTTTATTTTGCTTAAAACAGTAAGCTATGTGACTATAAAAATTAGACATAAAATATAACATTTTTTATATTTCTTAAGTCTAAAATGTATTTAGAAATAGTGAGCCCATGTACAATGTCCATTAGAACAAGAATAAAATTCAAATATTAAAAGTAATTTAAAACATAAATGATATAACAAAAAATCAATAAAGATAATTCTCACAAAATATTAGAAGTGAAAACATTTTAAAATAGACAATAAGGGGCCGGCCCAGTGGTATAGCAGCTAAGTTTGTGCACTGTGCTTTGGGGTCCCAGAGTTCACAGGTTTGGATCCTGGGCATGGACCAACACACCATTTGTCAAGCCATGCTGTGGCGGCATCCCATATAAAGTAGAGGAAGATGGGCACAAATGTTAGCCCAGGGCCAATCTTCCTCAGCAAAAAAAAAGAGGAGGATTGGCAACGGATGTTAGCTCAGGGCTAATCTTCCTCACACAAAAAAAACAGAAAATAATGGTGATTATAGTTAATAATACTGTATTATACACTTGAAAGTTGCTAAGAGAATAGATCTTAAATGTCCTCACCACAAAATAGAAATGGTAATGATGTGAGGGGATGGAGGTGTTAGCTAATCTTATGGTGGTAATCATTTTGCAAATCCACATGTTGTTCACCTTAAACTTATACAATGTTATATGTCAATTATATCTTTAAAAAGCTGTAAAAATATATAGTAAAAGTAAAATTCTCCCTTTGTAGACCTATGAATGGTCTATATGAATGCATGAGGACAGAATTTTAAATGTTAAGAAATTTAAAAGTCAAGACAGCCCATAATTTTAGGTTTTCCAAGTGAAACAAGGGAATATATCCTCACCAACCATCACCCCAATGGTAATGTTAAGCACTTAATTTGTCTTAGGCTCTAAATTCCTTACACTCAATTAATTCTCATCACATCTCATGTTCATGGATTGGAAGATTTAACATTGTTAATAAGGTAACATTCCCCAAATTGATCTACACGTTCAATGCAATCCCTATCAACATCCCGGCTGGCTTCTTTGCAGAAACTGACGAGCTGATCCTAAAATTCATATGGAAAACCAAGGGAACCCAAATAGCAAAAACAGTCTTGAAAAAAAAGAACTAACTTGGAGGACTCACATTTCCTGATTTTGAAACTTACTACAAAGCCATAATAACCAAAATTGTGTGGTACTGGCATAATGATAAATATATGGATCAATGGAACAGCACTGAAAGCCCAAAAATAAACCCTCACATGTACAGTCAATTCATTTTCAGCAAAGGTGCCAAGACTATTCAGTGTGGGGAAAATATTCTTATCAACAAATGGTGCTGGGACAAGTGGATATGCAGATACAAAAGAATGCAGTTGGACTCCTACCTCATGCTATTTACAAAAATCAACTCAATATATATCATAGACCAAAATCTAAGAGCTAACACTATAAAACTCTTAGAAGAAAACATAGACATAAATCTTTGTGACTTGAGTTGGGCAATGGTTTCTTAGTTATGACATCAAAAGTACAAGTAACAAAAGAAAAATAGGTAAAATAGAATTCATCAAATCTCAAAACTTTTGTGTTTCAAAGAACACCATCAAGGCAGTGATAAAATAATCCAAGGAATGGGATAAAATATTTGCCAATCATACATGTGATATGGGACTTGTATCTACAATATGTAAAGAACTTACAACTCAATAATAAAAAGACAACCCAATTAAAATATAAGCAAAGGATCTGACTAGACATTTCTCCACTAAGATATACAAATGGCCAATAAGCACATGAAAAAATGCTCTACATCATTAGCTATCAGGAAATGCAAATCAAAACCATACCCACGAGGATGGCTACCAATCAAAAGGACAGATAATAAGTGTGGGCCAGGATGTGGAGAAATGGAACCTTCATACATTGCTAGTGGAAAGTAAAATAATGCAGCTGCTTTGATAAACAGTCTGAAAGTTTCTCAAAATATTAAAAAGAGTTACCATACAACCCAGCAATTCCACTCCTATGTATGTACCCAAGAGAAATGAAAACCTATGTCCACAAAAAAACTTGTACACAAATATTCATAGCAGCATTATTCATCATTGCCCAAAACTGAAAACAATCCAAATGTCCACCAACTAATAAATGGATAAATAAAATGTGGTATATCCATACAATGGAACATTATTTGGCCATAAAAAGAAATGAAGTACTGACATGCACCAGAGCAAGGATGAACCCTGAAAACATGATGCTAAGTGAAAGAAGCCAGTCACAAAGGACCACATGTACAATTTCATTTATATGAAATATCCAGAATAAGCAAATCTATAGAAACAGAAAGATTAGTTAGTAGTAGCCTAGGACTGGGAGGGATAAGAAAGAATGGGTATAGGATTTCTTTCTGTGGTGATGAAAATGTTCTAAAATTGATTATGGTGATGATACACAACTATAAATATACAAAAACCAAAATAAATAAATGAACAAACAGAATTGTACCATCCAGTAAATCTCATCTATATCTAGAAAAGGGTTTGTATTAGAATCAAAAGCATGATTCAAATTGTACATAGACTCTCTTGAATATAAATATGGATCAAACATGGAAGTATTATAACTTAGACAATAGCAGAATTTTATATCTGTGAATTACATACACACAATAGTCTCTCTCTCTTTTTTTTCTGAGAGTACCTACTTTCTAAAATGTCTACTACAGCTCCAGGATCGATTGCATTTTCAAATACCTGCAAGAAAAAAATGGAGAAAAGAAATTTCCAAAGTTTTATTAATATATACTTACAGAAACTATAGATTATATTCTTCCAAATAATTAACACATGTCAAATCCAGCCATATATTATTTAGGTTTCAACAGAAGTACCTTTAAAAGGTATGTGGTTAAAAGTTCAACAAATGATTACAGAATAAACGAATGAGAATTAACACACCACCACCAAGGACAAGGAAAATTTGAGTCAACTGCATCTACCATGTGCTCAAAATGTCATTAGCATGACCTAGCCCTAGTTTGTTGCTAAAAGCACATCTGGCATCAACCGCAGAAACTTGTTTGGGAACCTAGAAAAACATTCTGCATCCCACAGATACTCATTAAATGTTAACTGAATGAATGACTTCTCCTTCCAAGCAATTGGTTGTGCTAAAAAGGAACATAAACAAAAATGCCACGTGTAACACAAAAGAACAGCTAAGTGCTAGTAGCTACACTCCCACAGAATCCAAAAATAACCAGAGAGAGGGAGAACCTCATAAGTTTTAAGTGCATCATGAAGCACAAGAAAAACACCGTGATACCTCTCTAGCCACTGCCAAATCTGCTTATTTTGTCCCTGAGATAAAAGGGCACAGGATAGGACTAAAATAAAAGGCATACCACACCCCTCTCCACAAACTCTAGAACTCTGTAAGAAACAAAAAGTTTTCATCAGAGTTTGATTTCAGGCATTCAAGTTCTGATTTCAAAGGAGTTTAAACTTAAGTGTGCTTAAAATCTGCTCTTGATCCCACGTAAGGCCTGCTTTAACTACAAAACTGGAGGCTTGTCCCCTGTAATACATTTTTGCCTTACTTGCTTTATCATGCAAATGTAGGTGAGGGGGTTTTTTTCCCCTAAATTATTACAGTAATTGCATCCCTTCACTTCATCCACATCTAAGGATTTTCTCAAGTGTGATCTTGGGGAGTAAACGATCAACATGAATTGCTTAAACACAATGGCTCATACATTCCTTATGTGTAATTTCTTGTTTATCCAAATGCTTTAGAACATTCAATCCTGAATTACACAGAAGGTCCAAGGAGGAGAAAATGTTTTTGCTAGCCGCTGCAAGTATTTGCAGCTAGAGAATGGAACAGATACAAGAAAGCTGGAGACAAACTGAAGAAAGCTAGAATATGAACCCAAACAACTCACACAAGAAGGCAATTTTTCAAAATATTAAATAATTGCATTTTACAAAATGAAAAACGGTCCATGATATGTGTTTGACTAGTAACCTCAAATGCACAGCTTTGCAACAGAGCAGCAGTGGCATCTAGACTGTGACTCTGAGGCTCACCTTCCTCTTCTACAAGTCAAGGAGGTTGGACAAGATGATCTCCAAGGTCATTCACAGATTTATTATTCTGTGCTTCTACAATTTTGTATCCTTGAGCCTCTTATAAAAAGATTTTTAAAATTTTATACAAAAGAAAACTGAAAATTGATAAAATCAGGAAATCCTTAGGGAAAAAATAGACTAGATTTTCACCACCCACTTTTTACCACTACCAACATCTAAATGGTAAAAGTAGGCTCCTTTGGATTCTCACCGTATGTTCCAAGGTAGTATCCATTTATTCCTCTCCTCTCTTTCCAAAGAGTTTGGTAGACTCTATTTAAATTAACAGGCTGGGATTTATAAAAATATTACATACAGCCTTAGCCCGTTAGAACATCAACCATGTCCTCTCCCATTCTCAGGTTGAAACACGTCATTTTCTGGGCACCACCATCCAGACCTTTAAAAGTGATAGTCTCTACCCTGGAGCCTTCCCATACTCATCCTCTCCCCAAAAGAACCACTTCAGTGATCTTGTTTAGGGTAAAATCATTAGACTTCTCAAGGTTAAAACTGATTCTATCTCCAAATTCCAAAACAAAAACTTCAAAGGATTGTCAGTGATTGTGTAGTAATGAAATTAACATTCTAAACTAAAGTGGGAAGAAGGTTGGTAACGTTTTGACTATTTACATCATGTTCCTATTCATTGGAATGGAATCTGGCCTTTATCACTGTAGCTAAACAAACCAGGTATGACCTAAGGAAACTCAGTAAATCTGAAGAGCCTCCTTGTTTTGTTACAGGATTTCAGATACAGGATTTAACTAATTTGGTTATAATTTTTCGTTATTTTTCTGAGTCTAAAAAAGTTTGTTTATAAGGTCTGCTAGTTTATCCATCATCCTTGTCAGAAATGTAATGCAACTGCCTCTAATACCTCCAAGGATATTCAGAAAATGCTCTCTGCTCCAGTTAGAAAATGCCATGGGAGTTCCAAGAATAGAAAACATCGACCAGGGTATTTAGCAGTAGCTTGACAGAACTTGGCTCAGACCTGAGCTACAAAAGCAATTCCTCCATCTACCGCTTTGCACTGTGCTGAGGTGCCTTCAAGTAATTTTTTAAAAGGAAATTTACAAAATAACTTCATAAGAACTGTGTTCTTTATATGAACCATTAAATGATCTTCAGACAGCAAAATCTGAATTTCTCTATTTAGCAACAAGACAGTCAGGATCACCTTTTCAAACCTCATGTTCTGCTGAATCATAATAGGGAACACAGAGGGAAAGCACTCTGTCTCCAGGTACTGATTCAGGAGGTAAACAGCAAGGTACACATCTTGCTTGCCAGGAAGGAACACTCCAGGACAAGAAATCTTAAAAATGGGAAAAAAAGAAAAATAGAGAACAAGTTTGTTTTGTTTTGTTTTTTTAAACAGGGCTCTATTTTCCCTAACCTCACACAGACAATGTGAAATTTCCCCCACCTCCGCACCCTCTCACCTGTACCTCCAACACCACCGCCCTCCCCTCTCCTCTGCTTTCTCAAACTGGAAATTCCAATTTCCTCCCACGTCTCCGCCAGGTGTCACAATCATCCTCTCGATGGCTCGTCTCCCCGCCCCTAAAGGATGGCAGTGCGGAAGCGGAAGAGACTGCAGGGCCGGGAAGCCTCTCTTTAGGCCGGCGGCGTCCTGGGCTCCGGGCCGCGCGCCGCGATGCCGAGCCCCCGGAGGAACGCCGAGGGACGCCCGCTGGGCGCCTCCGTTTCGAGCAGCAGCAGCAGCCCCGGCAGCCCGGCCCATGGCGGCGGCGGCGGCAGGTTCGAGTTCCAGTCCCTGCTCAGCAGCCGGGCGCCGGGCACGGACCCTACCTGCGCCCGGCTCCGCGCGTCCGAGAGCCCCGTGCACCGCCGCGGCTCCTTTCCCCTGGCTGGGACCGGCCCTTCGCAGGCGCCCTCGCCTCCGCTGCCCGAGGAGGACCGCATGGACCTGAACCCGTCCTTCCTGGGCATCGCCCTGCGCTCCCTGCTGGCCATCGACTTGTGGCTGTCCAAGAAGCTGGGAGTGTGCGCGGGGGAGAACTCGTCCTGGGGCAGCGTGCGGCCCCTGATGAAGCTGCTGGAGATCTCCGGACACGGCATCCCCTGGCTGCTGGGCACCCTCTACTGTCTGTTCAGAAGCGACAGCTGGGCCGGGCGCGAGGTGCTGATGAACCTGCTCTTCGCCCTGCTGTTGGACCTGCTGCTGGTGGCCCTGATCAAGGGGCTGGTCCGTAGGCGCCGCCCGGCCCACAACCAAATGGACATGTTTGTCACCCTCTCGGTGGACAAGTACTCCTTCCCCTCGGGCCATGCCACCAGGGCTGCCCTGATGTCGCGGTTCATCCTGAACCACCTTGTGCTGGCCATTCCACTGAGGGTGCTGATAGTACTGTGGGCCTTGATCTTGGGCCTCTCCAGGGTCATGCTGGGGCGGCACAATGTCACCGACGTAGCTTTTGGCTTTTTCCTGGGCTACACGCAGTACAGCATCGTGGACTATTGCTGGCTCTCACCGGACAATGCCCGGGTCCTCTTTGTACTGTGGAAACAACAATGACACCATCCCGTTCGTTATGGCATCAGGAGATCTGAAGGTTTTCACATGCCGTGATACTGACATAAACCAGCAGCCACACCGCTTGTCCCTCTTAGGACCTTTCAGGCTTCCTTTGGGATTTCAGGCGTCCTACCATCTTGATGGGTTGCTAGGCTGGAGCACGTGCTGGCCATTACTGATCACAGCCATTTTACGGAAAGCAAAAAAATCCCTCTATTATATATTTATTCAACAACTGTTTATACTTCCAGGACAACGGCAAAGAAACCAAGCTGGTGATTATAATGTTGCTGTTTTTTAAAAGTTGACATCAGTAAAACTTGTGTTTTGTAGTAATCCTGTAAATCAATGTATCACTTCTAAATTGAACTTTGAAAACGAAACATGATCTTCATTCTGTAAATATCCATGCAGATAAGCCACATACTAATATTACCTAGTTCTTTTCCTGAGGTAGATTTTAAGCAGTATTTTAAGAGTCTAAGACACTGGTTTTTCTAGTGTATTCCCTGAAGATCTGTTGCCACAGTTGGGAAGATATTCTCTTAACCCCGATTTTCTTGGTAAGCGTTTTTAGTTTATTGTCTCTTCCATCTTTGTGGATTGGGTAATGAGAAGAGAGATTATAGTACATATCTTTCTCTCCTTTCCCTCTAAATCCTCAAAAGATCTTTAAATAGATATTTCTTTGCCACTAGTCTCTAATAATGTCTTTTAGCATTCAGAGAACAAGCCAAGCACTTACTTGAAGAAGAAACACTTAAAGGTGGGTATACCTACAGTCCCCATAGAAAAGGAAAGATGGAACTCTGGCCTCATGCTTAATTCTGTTGACAACCAATAGCATGGCATGACAGACGGCATAAAAGCTAAGTTGCTGAGGAGGTCAGAGGACATGAGAGTTTGGGGGTATGTCATCCTGTCAATGGACCAGTATGGCAGGAGATGGGGCCCGCTGCCCATCATCTCTACTGAATAAAGAATAATGGTCCTCTATTGAGGTGGTAAAATGGGAAAATAACGTAATTCTTTGCAATGCAAAAGCATAAGCTTTCTCATACATACCACAAGGATGACCTTGTATATCATAGGTTTTCATATGGAATTCTGTTTCCCTGTATACAGCACACTTTAGGTAACAGTATTTAACTTGAAATTGATCAGGGGGAATCTGCTGCTATACCAGGCACAAGGTATAACTAACTCCTAAATTTCTGTTTACATTTACCTTTACATTTAAAATAGTTTATGCATGGTGCCTCCCCAAATCACAAGACCAAAGACCACCAAATGCAGGGTGGACTCTATTCATTATTCTTTGCCAGGAAAGACCGAAAAGGGTATGTGTTTAAATGCTGCTCGACCTGAAAATAAGAACCTTTAAATTACCATGGAACTGGTGTCTTCAGATAATCTTAATGACCAATTATTTCGGCATTTATAAATAGAAAGGATTATGGGTTTTGACCTGCCATATAGAGGTGCACATAGGAATCTGGAGAATGGCTGTTACAAGTAGGCTCTGATTGGGTGGAAGCATGAACTTCCTGAGAGTGAGGCACACTGAAAGAGAAACAGCTACTCCTTAAAATAAAATCATTTACATTCCCATAACATCCTGGACACAGACTACCTCTTCACTTGCTGAGTCAGTCAAACTGTGAAGGTCTAATTGGTTTGTTTTATTTTTAGCCTTAGAAAGAGCCTTTATTTTAATTGCAGCAATATTCAGGACAAATATTTGGAAGCAATGATATTTCCTCTTGCAATGTCCACAAGGCTGAATATTGGGGGCTCAAAATTAGGCTTATCTTCTGGTTCCTGGTTCTACTTCTGGAATCCCCTGTCTTAGTTGCTGGGACCTGAGTTTGCTGCCTTTTAAAGCACAGATCAATTCACCTGATGTTTTTGGAGAACCCTAAGTACTGTAGAGTAGAAAACTGATTTCACTATTAATTGTACACTGAGGAATGCCTTTTAAAAATCAAAATAAAATTAACCAGTAATGTTGAACGAAGTGAGATGAAAACTTGTTTAATTTTTGCCTTGATAAGGAGGAAGACTGATTTATTATTACTCAGCTTGTCAAGAATTCCTTCATCTTGCTGCAGAATTTTGAGAGCTCACAACTGATACAGCACAATTGGTATAGTCTGGTCCTGTTTGCTGTCAACAAAGTGGGGCAAATCCAGGAAATCTTGACCTTTGTTTCAGAGCTGCATGTCTGATGAAACCACAGCATTTGTCACTTGTACAAGGCTAACCAGATTTTCCGGGACTGTGACCTGTCGGCATTGTGCTTGTAATCATGGCCAGGACAGAAACCTCTATAGGTTGGAGGCAAAGCTGCATGACAATCTGTCATAACTACAAATGGAAGGGTTGAAAAAATGGAAGCTGAAATAAGAGGAATGACTGACCCCAAACAGGAACAGTGGAGTCACTCTGCCACAGCACCTCACTTAAGCAGAATTCAGTAGATGATTATAACAGTCGTTGATTGATTGATTTCCCTTTTGGAATTAGCAAATCAGAGCCATCTCTAGAGGAAGTAGTTTAGGAAATATTTGATTGGTTCATAGAGGTGGCAAATTATCAGGAAGCGAGGGGGCTTTTTGAATTTCCTCCCTGGTTATTTAAAGGCTGGGTTTTTAAATTCTTTCACAAATCTTTACCTTGGAAAACAAAAATAAAATCCTTCTTGGACTTAAGGCAGGGTTATTTTAAAAGAACAGAAAATTTCAGGATAAAGCCAACAAACAAGTCGGCTTTAGGGGGCGAGGGTGAGCTGAACTAAAGGTTAGGAAGTCAGGGAAGATGAATGTAGAGAATCTTAATGACAGGTACAATATGTCCCAAAAGGTAATGATGTACGTGTGGGGAGGTGGGGAGGAGGTGGTGAAAACGTCCCGGGACCATTTAAGAAGCCTAGGCAAGGAGTCTGATTTGGGGAAAGGAACGGAGGTTCGCCGATCTCTCTTACCGCCCGGATCTGCAGCTCCACCACCACCTCCAGAGGCATCGTTCCCTGCGTGGGCGAAAGAACTGGATGAAAAGATCCTTTTGTGCTGAGCCTTGGACCGGTTTTTCTTAGTTTAGCTCAATCCCTCGGGCAAATGTTCCCAGCAGCTTCTCGAGCCCCCCACCCCCTCGAACCCCCATCCGTCCTCCCCAGCCCGGGTCCCTCCCACTGGGACCGGTCTCACACTACCGGAGCTGGAGCCAAGGCTTCCAGAAGGCGGAAGCGTCGCGTTGCCATGGACACTCAAACGCGCAACCTTCCACCCTGGAACTCGAGCGAGGCCCCCGGCGCAGGCGTGCGCTCCCCCTATGCTCCGCCTGGAACGCGCGGTCCCGATGTCGGCTTCCCAGGGTGTGCGCTCTCGGGACAGAATGACCCGGTACTGTCGTTTCGGCCGGATTGCTAGATGCTAAGAGCCCTAGTCTCCTTTCCACCAACTCTCTTTATGGCCCCCGATCAGTATGTTAAAATGTTTAGTGTGCCAATTCTAAAAGTGGAATGTGATCATAGCTCCGTTATAATTTAAGTACTACCCATTTTTAGTAGCTATACGAGTCCCAACCCCTGGAATTTCTGTAACAATTCCAATTGTAATAGAGGAGCCTTTCCCTAAAGATACTCTCTTGCTTATTAAGTGTTATGTTCTCATGTTTGGTTCGGAAAACATGGCCATTGTTAATAATAAGAAATTAAACATGTGCTAATTAGAAATACAAAGATAACTTTTAAAGAGTTTTAACAGTTAGGTATCCCATGTTAGCCACAATAGAAACATTTGTCAGTCTCTCTTTTCTGGGGTTTAGTTAACCTAATGCAAGCAGTGAATTACATTATCTCCCAATGGGTAGTTAACTGTAGTTGCCAAAGCCAGGGTTACACTATAAAAACCATCAGAGGTGGCAGGCACAGCAAGACTTCTTAACCAGTAAGGGAAATTGCATTTTTTTTCTCCATCACTGTATTTAATAGACAAAAATGAAGGAAGGGAGAGGGAGTGGCTGCTTCCAAGCAATCAGAAAAATCTGGGAAGGCCAATGCTGTCTCTGAAAAAAAAATTCTTGAATTGTGATGAGTCATTTATTACTAATATTTTGCATTAGAGATACATGCAGTTGCAGAAATACAAGTGCAGGAAGATGTCCTGAGACAAGAATTAGATATTCCTTTCAGTAATTGTAGTTCCTTTCCTTGGAAAGGAAAAACTCAGTATGATGAAGGAGGGTATATTGTGTCCTTATACAGTCCCTGGTGCCCTGTCTGTCTGCATTCCAAGAGACACGCAGGTGGGCGCTTGGCTCCCTACAGTATCCAGAGAACTGAGAGTGCCGGCTCACAACAGCTTGCTGGCACTAGTATGGGGATATATGGGAACAGGACCTTCGTTGACCCTCACAGGTAAGTGACCAACACCAATGCTAAGACATCAAGGAGAGTAACAACCAAAGCAGATGAATAAATAAGTGGTCAGAGACATATCGGAAGGGAGGAATCAATCTTTATTGAGCACCTGCAGAGTGCTTGGCACATTGCATATGCTAATTCATTTCCTCCCCACGATAACTCTTTGAGGAAGATATTATTATGCCTATTTTATAGATGCAGAATCTGAGGCCAGAGAGCCTTTTGCCCAAGGCCACACAGCTAAAGGGAAGCAGCCACACTTGAATACAGGTGTGCCCTACCACATCACTGCCCCTGCCAACATAGACATCCTGTTGATCCCTAGACACAGAGTCTCATCCTATGCTCTTCTTAGCCTTACCTGGACTCTCCTTGCTTACCTGAACTCTATTTGATGTAACTGACTCTCCTTGTTTGGCACCTAGTGCCCAGCCCTCTTCTGGTTTCCCTCTAATTCTCTGGACGTTCTTTGTCTCTGTTCATCTTCCTCTACCTAGCTAAGCAATGTTTCTAGGTTCTTTCCTTTCCTCACTCTAACTCTTTACCTAGGGTATCATCCAGTGTAGGTATGGATTAGAACATGTACACAGATTTACATATCCCACCCAGGTCTCTCTCATGCTTTCCCTGACAAGGTGGGATCTCACTATTACAAATATATGTTATCTCCTCTTTGTAGCAACTGCCACAATAGCAGTTTTACGTTTGCTCCTGTGATTGTTGATTACTATTTGTCTCTATAAACTGTAAACTCTGTATGGCTCAGAGTTTGTGTCCTAATACCTAGCATAGCAGATGCTCAATAAATATCTTTGAATAAATGTTAAACGCAGAGATGGTCAAGCCAGTCTGTAGGATGTAATGTACATGGGTAAGGGGAGGTCCCACCACATCAGGGCAAACTAAACACGCAAAATGAGAAAGGACCAGGCACAGCTACTTCTGCTAGTCTGCCAGTGAGGATATTAAATGAATTGATAGGGAATATTTACACTCTGTTAATTTCCCCCACCATGGTCACCTAAGGCTCTCAGCTGTCAAGGAGATGTGGAAGTTGCTACATATACAATGCCTCTGGCCCACCTTGCACAGCAGTTAACCATTGAGGCTGCCACCTCCGCTGGAGGCCAAGCAGAGCTGTTCAAGGGTTGGGCTGTCACCACTTCCAGAGATTCGCTTTATTACCTATGTAGCGACCTCTTGGTGGCAGAAAACAAATCCCATTGAAAAACTCTTATTCCCAGAGTGTTTCTGCAGTGCAGGCTGGTCAGCAGTAATATCAGCATTGTTGAAATGATGTATCAGCATATTCTGCTCACATCCTGGCCACCTCCAAGAAAATGGCACATGCCCCAAATGGGAATTTTCCAAAGAGTTAATTATAATTAGCAAAGAACAAAAGAATGACAGATAATTATGGCTGAGATTTTCCTTTTAACTAAAAAAATTAATTATAGGACACCAAATTGTAAACATTTCTTTTCAAATAATGTAGGAAGCAGTATTCATATGAGGGAAGGAAACTATAAAAAAAAAGGAGGCACTAATGGCAGGAGTGTGAGGAAACACATTATGTATTGGTAGGAGTGTAAACACACATAATGTATTAATTTTCTATGGCTACTGTAACAAATTACCGCAAACGTAATGGCTTGAAACAAGACAAATTTATTATTTCCTAGTTTTGCGGATCAGAAAGCCAACACAGATCTCACTGGGCTAAAAGCAAGGCTGCTGCATTCCTTGCCTTTTCCGTTTCTTTGCTTCTCCAGCTTCTAAAGGCTGCCCACATTCCTTGGCTTATAGCTCCCCTCCATCTTCAAAGCCAGCAGCATTAAGTCAAGTCCTTCTCATCCTGCCATCTCTCTGGTTCTCTCTTCTACTTTTAAGGACCTTTGTGATGACATCAGGCCCACTTGGATAATCCGGGATAATTTCCCTATTTTAAGATCAGCTGATTAGTGACCTTAATTCCATCTGCAATGTTAATTTTCCTTTGCCATGGAAGGTAACATATTAGTAGGTTCCAGGGATTAGGACATGAATATCTTTGAGGTCCCTTATTCTGCTTACCACATGTAACTTCTCTGGAGAGTACTTTGTTACTATCAAAATTTTTCATTTGACTCAGCAATTCCACTGCTAGGTATGGGTATACTTTCACAAGTACACAAAAACATATGCTGCATTATTTGTAGTTAAAAAAATACTGGAAACCACCTACATGTTTATTAAGTAGGGTCATTAAATCAATTATGGTTATGCCTCAAGATGGAATACTATGTAGCACGGAAAAAGAACAAAGCAGAGCTCTAAGTCCTAGCAATAAATACTCTCAATTATAGGACTAAAGAAAAAAAACAAGCATGGAACAAAAAATGTGTGAAGTGTGCTGCCATTTGGAAGAGATAAGGAATATATGTACATATATGCTTAGAATATTCCTGAAGGGATACATTAGAAACTGCTAATAGTGGATGACTCTGGAGAGAGGACCTAGAGTAGAGAGATAGAGAAGAAATGTACTTTTCATTGACTATCCTTAGGTACTTTTTGAATATTTTTGCCAAGTATGTGCATTATGTAGTCCAAAAAGGAAAACAAACTAAAACAAGTAGGAAACATAAAACACAGAAAGGATAAATCTGGGAAGATAGTGAGGACCAGGAATTGGCTTCTTCGGCTTTTGAGGCTGCATCCTATATACTGCATGCCATGAAAATATCCATACAAGTGTGTCTCCTACTTCTGCTTCCAGTGCAGGGTATCTTATCCTATGATCCCTGGCTGTCTCAGAGGTCCTAAAGCCCCTAAAGTGATAGGCAGCCTTTCATGCATGTGCATATGTGTATTTTCCTGGGAAGAGAGCTTGTAGTTTTCATCAGAGTCTGGAATGGGTAGAGTTAGTCAAACCAGGTTTTAGAACCACTGTCCTGCTCTCTATCCTGCCATCAGTTCCCTCCGATAGCAAAAAGAAGGGTCACCCAAGTTATCTGACAATGTGGCAGGTAAGGAAAGAGGGACTCTTCTCTCCATCACATTCATTCCCACTTATTAGAGCCAGCTGTCTCCCCAAGGGCACTATTATTATTCAATAATAGGTGAAAAAGACCTTCAAAGTCCTATTCTAGGCCATTAGTTTATGTCTGGACTCAGACTCATTTGGTTGGCCCTACAATCTTTTGAGCCAGTGAATTATTCATTAGCAAATGTGAATAACACGAGCAGATTGAGTTTCCAAAGTGAAGTTGTTCATTAGCATTTGTGACAAATGCCTGAAAAGAAAAAAAAAAAACCAAGTACATGAAACAATCTGGATTATTTCAGCAGTAACGCATTTCCAGATCACTGATTTTTTTAAGTGTAGACTCATCCTCAAGACCCAAGAAATAATTATGTTTTATATTTGGCCTTCTCCAAAGTCTTTCTCTGAAATGTTCAACAGTTTAGTTTTCTCACAGTCTGACATACAGAGGAGAAAAGTTTACCTCTCTTACTTTTACTACGAATGTATAAAAGAGCTCAGTGAACTGTGCTGGGCTCTTGCCATGGCTCTCATAAACTGCATAAAGATAAAGTTTATGACTTTAAAAAAGTTAATGTTAAAATCATATCCTTTAGGGGAACTTTAAAAGGATCAGGCTGTCACCATATGAACGCACTGATCAGTCAACATCACTAAAGGTGATGTCACATGTCTTCTTATGTGATTCATAGGAAGCATCTATGAAGCACTTTTGCCAAGAAAGTTGAAGTTGAATTTAACCAAGCCACTTGAGCTGCACTGTCTAATAAGGTAGCCACATATGGCTATTTAAATTTAAATTAACTAAAACTAAATAAAATTTAAAATTTAGTTCCTTACTTGCACTAGTCACATTTAAAATGCTCAATAGCCACGTTACTAATGGCTACTGTATTGGATAGTGCAAGTAGAATCTTTCTGTCATCACAGAAACTTCTATTGAGCAGTGTTGCTCTAGAGCTAACTTCACTTAAAG